CGCTAGAGACCTTAATGTTAGGTTATACATTTTACATCTTTACATAATGTGTTGGGAAAAGGGAGAAGAGAGAGTTCGGCAAAAGGCGGATTCGAACTCGGGTCGAGCGCATCAAAAGCTACTTTCAAGCACTTCACGCGTTACGACCTACGCCACTGTAGCTGTTTCGTAACGAGTGTCTTTTTGCATTAAAGACAGGCACTCAGTGCAAATATACGCTCTGTTATAGAAAATGTTAAAAAAAAATGTTTTCTTCCCCTCGCTTGGGCCCCAAGTGCGCATGGCGAATTTGCAATGAATATATTTTATCAGACCGGCCCTCGCGGCCTCGAAACAATACCGGCCCACCGGGAAAACTCCCGACTCTCCCGATTGCCACTCCGCTACTGGCAAGACCTCGCGCTCGCAGGACAGTACTGGCAGCATCTGGAGATTACTGAGGTTTGTGTGAAAAGTCGCTAGATATGTCGCTAGTCGCTTTTAAAAAAAAATGTCGCTAAAGGGGTCTGAAAAGTCGCTAAAAATAGCGACAAAGTCGCTAAGTTGGCAACACTGTGCGCGTGTGACAGGGCGCGTGAACTGAACGAGCGCAGAGAGAGAGAGCGCGAGAGAGCCCCGGTCGCGCGCGCGCACTCTCTCTCTCTGCGTAGCCAAGCGAAAGTATAAACAAGGCTTCACCGTCTCTAAACTAAGCGCTGTCTTGCTCTCTCTCTCTCTCTCTCCCTCGCACATATTAATCAAATTAATTAAAAAAATGTTTTCCTGAATTACCGCTAGGAGTAAATAGTGGTAAAATACGTTGCCTTATCTTCTCTGAAAAGCGTTCCGCACATTCAGCTGACATAAACCACACTTTAAATAAACGAAAAAAACTATCCAGTCATGAAATGTTTTCTGTGATGACACAAATCTTGTGGGATGTCCTAACCGCCGGGATAATCACACAACGCGCACACGTCCGATAATGACACATCCAATTCGCGAACTAATGACTCATTTGAACCGATTCGTTTTGGTTAAAACAACTGATCTGTCTGAATCGGTGTATAACTAATCGCTAACACTTTGTAATAAGGTTTCATAAATTACATAAAAAGTAGGCTACAGTTTGCTTACTCAAGTGTAAGTTTTTAAAACAAATAACCCCCCCCCCCCCCCCCCTTGACTACTTTTTCCCACACAGTGCTATCAGGAATCGAGAAGAGAATCGTTAAAGAATCGGATCGATAAGCAGAATCGTCAGTGGCATTGATATTGATAAAATCTTATGTTTCTTATGATAACTGAGATAATGCTGCTATATTTATTTATTTATTTTACCTTGAATGTCATTGCTCTAATTTATTTTTTATATTTTTCATATTTCATATTTTGTTCAAATGGTTAATATAGCCTATATGCTGTTCATATGTTCATTTATTAGTGTGTTATATGATTAGAATGTTGTCCCAGTTTTAAAATAAAGCACAGCAATGATATTTGAGTGTTTCTCCCTTTTCAGGAAAAGTATCGAAAAAGTATCGAAATCGCAATTCTTGACTTGGTATTGGTATCGAAACAATAATTTTGGTATCGTGACAACACTACCTGATTGGTTACAAGGTAGTTTGTGACGTCAGAAACACCAGCGATTTCAAACCGTGTTTTTGAGATCGTCTTTGGTTCACTGCAGTTTTAAAGAGAAAATAGTCACCAATGGTGTTGACTTATGAATTTGCACATGGTTATGGTTTCAAAGCATATAAAAAACACCACATAGACATATAAGCAACATTAAAAGCTTGATTTTCAACACAGAGGGACTTTAATAAAATATAAGTTGTAAAATATACAATACTCGTAATATCTATAATATTGTCACTGTATCTTTAACAGTGAATTTCTTGCAAACTCAGCTGCCGTATTTTTATGGGATAATAGGATTTATGTAATAGGATTTTTTTAGTGTAGCTACTGGACAATAAATCTTACCTAAAGCTACCACCGCTTTTAAACTCCTGATTTGAGCTTGCTTGATGTTTTCATAAAGCATCTTCATACTTCAAACTCCCTTTTTGTAGGAAATTTCACAACATAATATCAGCATGCTAAAATCCTCTAGAAAGTTACAGAAATGCAGGAGAAAATGAAACAAAGGAAAACTCCTCTGTCATGCTTGTTCTTATCGTACAGCACAAAATAGCCTTCTTATCAGTGTTCAGAGGACCTCTGAACTAAATCACAGTGGCCTCTTTTACGCACAGACCTTACACTAGAAGCACTGGAATAAAATCTGACCCCAAAAGTAATTTGAAGCCAATGGCTGGTGACTAGAGCGGAAATGGTGAGTAAATCTGCTGAGGTCTGTTATGATGTATGTGTTTTGGCCTCATCACAAGCTTGAAGCAGCAGCCAGTTGTAGCCGAGAGCAACTACTATTCTGGACAATAGTCAACATCTCAGATTAACTATGGAAGCAGATACAAACTGCAGGTGTGGCCTTTTGTCTACAACTTCAACAAAAGACCTCAAAAGTAGTTTCCAATACCAAGGCCAAGAGGAAAACACATTTTCTCAAGAACTGGCTGTCTTAATCAGGGATGTGTGAGACAAGTCTAAACGATACTGCTGCTAGTCAGCATTGAAAATATTAGTTGTTTTATTAAATCTTTTTTGCACATTTATGTGTTGCTCTTTATTTTTACAAAGGGCATGTTCAAATTACTGCCGTTAATGTTACATTTGAATATAACACATATTGTATATCTGGAGTGGAAAACAAAATAATTTCATGTTACCAGACTTTGATATTGCATATATTTTTCAGTGGTATTTTGTATGAGATTGGACTGTTTAATTCATATTAAGTAGGCTGTTTTAAATTAACTGCTTATACAGACCTTTTCAACTGTTTGTTAACTATAGATGGTGACAAAATTTCTGATTAAACGTCAATGAAACTAGTCATGACACATATCCCTAGTCTTAGGGGCCGTTTACACGACACCGTTTTCAACTAAAGATGAAAACTATTTTATGCGTTTTGGCCATTAATTTACACGACAATAGGGTTTTGGCGGCCTAAAAACGCAAAGTTTTGAAAACGAGTTTCAAAGTGCAAGTTTTTGAAAATGATAACATTATTATCTCAGTGTAAACTACAGAAACACGAATTTGTGAAAACGGTCACATGAGCACGCATTTTACGCGTTTAGTCTGTAGGCGTGTAGTGTTTCATTACAAAGTGACATCGCCAACTTCTGGCCTGGCAGAATACTATTTTAGTCGTATATGTTTTCTGCACAACTGAATCTTTGATGACTGAATAAGTGCAATTCACCTTTATTCCAAAATATGGCAATGTCTGAAACAATGATGAAGTGATCTTTCACTCATAGTTACTGCAGGTGGAAAACAAAAGAATGGGAAGTATCATCAGCAAATCTTGAAATGGCTCAGTGATTTGCTGCAGATCAAATACTGAACGCAATCAAATATTAGTGTCACTGTCGCTTGATGGTGGATCTGGTGAAGAAGCTGTCAGCTAACAAAATATTGATTTTGAAGATCTTGAAAACTTTGGTTTTGAGAATATGTTTGAGATGGCGAATATGAGCCAGATGCTGAATGTACTGGGAAATGAGCTCTGACGAGGACAGTGATGATGATATTAAACATCTGCTTAAACTGAGTCCTTCCAAGCTCCAAAAGGTAACAAAATATGCTTTATTTTATTCTTCTGTAATTGTTACTCTAATTTCAAGAGAGCTTTATATTATTGCGACAGGAGAGATCTATCCGTGTTAGATATAGATGCGGGTCGCTAAAGACCCGAATATGTAATAATGATTGGTGAAACATTTGTGCATTTAAGGGTTATAGTAAATCATTGCACTGGAATAAGTTATGGCGTTTTCTTTTCGAAATATTTTGTAGATGATATGATATGATATTGTGCATATTCAAACATGGCATCTCAAAGATGTACAGGACAACGATACTAGTTATCTAGTGTCTTGTGACAAATCTGGATGCATTTAAATGTTGATTCAAACGCAAGCATGATAAAATTGTACTTTTATGGGGGTTATGGGACTTGACACCAATCTTCTTTCGCTACATGAAAAAGATCAGTGTGAACAATCTAACAAACTTCTGCTTCTGTGTTCATACAGAACAAAGAAATTCATATGAATTTGGAATGTTTGACAATGTTTTAATTTCTGGGTGAACTATCCCTTAAAGTGAGAGGTCAGATAAGACCAAGGATGGAGATAAACAGGGTGAGGCTGTATAAGGGCCATTCTTTCCCTACATAATCCCAAGAGATAGAAAAACATTTGTGTGCATGTGTGAGAGAAAGATACAGAGCAAATGAGTGGGAGAAAGAGTTCCTGGTAACTCCACCTTGCCGAGTGGAACAGTGAGATATAAAGAAACCGATGTCTGGGGGTAAAGTTACAGGACAGAAACGTGTCTGTTAGATAACATGAGAACGGAGCCTGATTCTCTTTCCTCAAAGCTTTGCCCCAAAACAAGACCCTCTTCAACTGTACACCTGGATGTATGCCAGAGTATACTTGCACTATTCCATATATAAAGTGACAGAAGACACGGGTCACTGCACAGCCATGGAATCAGAGATGTCGTGGGATTCGCATAAGGCCCAGACATGTTTGTTGAGCGAGTGGATCGTGTTTTCAGCCCCCTGGTTAGAGTAATACCATCTTCTCCAGGGTCAATGATGTAGTTCCGAAGAACCTACAACAGCTGCTTGTGTGGAAGGTCATATCTGACGCTCATTTATCCCACATACCATCTCGGAATGGCTTGGAACGATGGCTTCCATTAGCCAGATCAGAGAACGGATCATTAGGGATGGATGAAACAGAAGAGCCTCTTGACAGGAATTTCTGGTCTAAATTTCCACCATCAAATCCCAAAACACGGTAATTTTAAACAAAAACATTCTCCTCAAAAATCAGTTTAGACTCCAGCAGACGATGGAAGGCTGTTCTTACCATCTGCCTGACTCCTCTGAGGACAGTGAACCTTCTCGCCCACATGTGTAGTAATCTGGTTAGTTAAAACCACCTGAGGGAGACAGAAGGGAAACATCTGTACTGCAGTTTAGTTCAGTTAGATTAGATCACACAAAGATGAGAATAAACAGTCTGCTGACACTTTGCAAGTTCAGCGGATATTGAATTCCATCATCACGCGACATAACTCATTACATAATGCTATTTATTGGGTCATGTGGTAAGTAAATTTTAAACAGGCAAATGCATAGGCCTAAATACAATATCTCACAAAAGTCATATACTGTCCTCTGAAAATAACTCAACATGCAGCCATTATTGTCAAAATAGCTGGCAACAAAAGTGAGTACACCCTAAGTGAACATGTCAAAACTGTGTCCAAATTGTCAATATTTTGAGTGAGCACGATTGTTATCTAGCACTGCCTTAATCCTTCTGGCCATGGGATTCACCAGAGCTGCACAGGTTGTTGCTGGGATCCTCTTCCACTCCTCCATAATGACATCACGGAGCTGCTGGCTGTTAGAAATATGGCGCCTCTCCACCTTCCACTTCACCACAGGTGCTCAATGGGGTTCAGGTCTAGAGGCATACTTGGCCACTTCATCACCTTCAACTTCAGCTTCCTCAGCAAGGCAGTTGTCATCTTGGCAGTGTGTTTGGGGTCGTTAATGCGTTTGGCCCAGTTTCCGAAGGGAGGGCATCATGTTCTGCTTCAGAATGTCGCAGTACATGTTGGAATCCATGTTTCCCTCAATGAAGCTCAGCTCCCCAGTACCTGCAGCACTCATACAGCCCCAGACCATGATGCTACCACCACCATGCTTGACTGTAGGCAAGACACAATTTTCTTGGTACTCTTCACCAGGGCGTCGCCACACATGCTGGACACCATCTGAGCCACACAAGTTTATCTTAGTCTCATCAGGCCACAGGACATGGTTCCAGTACTTCATGCTCTTGGACAGGTTGCTTTCAGCAAACTATTTGCGGGCTTTCTTGTGAGCCAGCTTCAGAAGAGGCTTCCTTCTGGGACGACGGCCATGCAAACCGACTTGTTGCAGTGTGCAGCGTATGGTCTGAGCACTGACAAGCTGACCTTCCACTTCTGAGACCTCTAAAGCAATGCTGGCAGCACTTATGCTTCTGTTTTTTGAAGCCAGCTTCAGCACCTGACGCACAGCACGAGGACTCAACTTCTTTGATTGACCATTGCGAGGCCTGTTACGAGTGAAACCCGTCTTGGAAAACCTCTGTATGACCCTGGCCTGTACTGTAACTCAGTTTCAGGGTGTTACCAATCTTCTTATAGCCTAGGCAATCTTTGTGGAGAGCAACAATTCGAATTCTCAAATCCTTAGAGAGTTATTTACTATTAGGTGCCATGTTGAACATCCAGTGGTCAGTATGAGAGAATTGTACTCAAAGCTCAAATTTGAACTGCTCTAATACAAGATACAACAATTTGTATGGTCCTGTCAAGCAGACAAAAACATGAAAATGATGAATAGGACATGTGGCTTTGCATGGTTAAAAGACGTACATCTATTATCACTTATGACTCACTTTTGTTGCCAGCTATTTTGACAATAAATGGCAATAAATAAATTTAGACTAAAATGTTTGCTAAAATGTGAGGGATGTACTCACTTTTGTGAGATACTATATATATATAAGGTGATGGCAATTTTATCAATGGTCACTACTGTATAAATTCTGAAATTAAAAAAAACCACAACATTTACATATATATATATTTAAAAAAAAAAATGTTGACAACAGAAATTGTGCAATAACAGTTTCAAGATGAAATTGTATCCTATTTTATAATACATATTAGCCTATATGAAATGTATTCGCCTGAAATTACATTGTAATAAATGTTGTTATTGTGTAATGTGTGAGTTTTTAGAGGCTTAGGGCTCTTCCAGAAATATGAAGAGGGGTCAAACAAGGGATTGTTGAGGGCCTTACAACATGATCTATCTTAAGTACATTAATATTGGTGTTAATTAAAATATAGCAGTATGTCATTAACAGTACTTAAGCTTGCACACAAAAAGCTAACATTGTTGAAACTAGGCCAATGTTCTGATTTGATCAAACGTGGTATTTAAAGCGGCCTAAAGTGAACCACTGCACTAGTGTATGTCTTCCACGGCTCTTTTAATAAAAACTACACAAATAAAAACAATCAGCCAAAACCTAAAACATTTCAACATTCCTTTATATTTCTAAAGCTTGGGAGAACAAACTTAATTACCTCATTATGGTTTGGCTCTAGGTGCTAAAGTGTAAGGTTTTATTTTGGAAACTTAATGGGTTGACCTATTTTACGGTTATGAGCTTTTATGTGTATGAGGGGGGCTATAACATAGTTACCTACCTCTAGGAGTTATCTGCCATGTGGTTTCATGTTGAGGCCCATTTCTACTGCTGTGGAAAGCAGTATTAAAACTCACTTGTGGCCACTGGCAGTGTCAAGCCAGACATTTACTGCACTGATTTAAAACACAAAAGCTATCTTTAAAATGAGCATGGCTGCAGGGGGACGAGAGGCAAATAACTGCAGATCAGATGAGTTTTGGGGTTACAGCCTGAGATGTCCTCTGGGAATAGTTGACTAGTCATTTTAAAATAAGGAAATGCCCATTATTTTGTTGAAACACGCTTACATTTAAACCTGATCCTAATGTCAACAAAGCACAAAAATAGTCAATAAAATGATATATCTATCCTAATTTCCCTCAAGTAACAATAAACATGATCTGTAACATCATTTGTAACACAACCCATTTTAAATTATAGTTTGTAGATACACTGGAGTCCAAACTTAAGTCTGAAAATCTGGAATTCAAAATCAAATTTGAATCAAGAAAAAAGTAAAGCAAAAGGAAGAAATACAAAATTCGAAGACATATAGAGTTCATTACTTCTATTTTGTATTTTCAGGCAATTGTAGTATAACTGAATTGAAAATTCAATTTCTTTATTTAAATTGCTGTGATTATAATATCAAAATATGTATTAAAAATTTCCGTACATAATAGAAACATAAATGTTTCTCTATAATGATAATAATAATTGAAATTTTTAATTGTAATTTTCTAGAAATATGCATTTAACAAAAACAAAGCGAACAGAAAAACAGAGGCAATTAACAAACATTAACTATTATAGAAGCATCGGACCATTAAGCTTTGACTTCGACCATAGGGGTGCTAGTATCAACAAGCAGACCAGTCATTGCTCTTTGAAATAAACAGCTTATTTTCCTTTGTACGGCATACATCCGGTAAAACAACGAAAGGGGAATAAAATTATGGATATCCCCGCTGTTTGTCTCCTCCTGCTGGAGCAGGGGAATCGCTTTCTCGAGGATCACATGCCTTCTTAGATCTGGCATGCCTTACCCACTACCCAGACAGCTTGTTTTGTGTATTCTTGAACACCAGCCTCAACAAGCCTTAACGGGGTCAAAGGCATGCCTACCAATGGATGGTGCTTGAGGGAGCTTCGCAAAGTATGTGGAGTGGGTGCTGGTTCAGTGCAACTTGCTATTTACCATCTGCCAAGCGAATGAGGACAACGCCAGCTCCACTCCGGTCCCAGAGCCCAACCAGCTTACAGCCATTCCCGCAGCGGATCAAAAGCCAGAGCCCACCATGAAAACAGAGCCAGGGCCATTGCCAGAGGCCACGTTCATCCCGGAGCCCAAGCCCATCATAGAATTTGCCCAGGAGTGTGAGCCGGCATCAGCGTCTGTCGTCGAGGTCATATTAGTAGAGTTCGTTGGAATGGATTGGAGCTCCGCCCACGCTCACGTTGCTGAGGTCCGTGAAATGAGCTAGGTTACTGAGGAATTATTTTATGAGCTTGATGAGGAAATATTTACTGGTCCACAGTTACCTCTGGTTCCATCCAGTCCCAAGTTGTCTCAGTCTCTGCTGGTTCAGTCCAGTTCCATGTTGTCTTCGTAATTGCTGGTTAAGCCCAGTTCCAAGTCGTCTTTGTCACCATTGAGTCAAACCAGCACCAAGTCTCCTTCGTCATCCAGCACCAAGTCTCATTGCCACTGGCTCTGCCCAGCTCCAAAGCTCCTTCGTCCTGGATGGTCCCGCCCTTTTCCTCCTCTTCTGCCAAAGCCATCCAATTCCTCTGCCTCATCTCCACTGTTTCTCTTCAGCTCCTCCAGTGGTTCCACCTGGCTGCACAGATCCACCTGGGGTTACCCAGTCATCAGCTCTGCCGTGGTCTGTGGATCCCTCATCTCCGCCACGAGACTCCAACCCCGGACTCCACCTCAGCCCTCCGACCCATTGGCTCACCCTAGGCTTCACCCTCGCCTGTAATCCCTCAGGCTCCGCCGGGCTTCCTCGTCCCTCTGGCTCAACCTTGGTCAATCGTCGCCTTGGACCGAGTAATCAGATGCGCCTCGACCCTCCACCCCTCTGGCTCCACCAGACTCCTCTTTCATTCTTGTATTCACTGTCTCTCCCCCGGTCTGCCAAGCCCACACCTCCACCTAGGTTCCCTCTGGTCAAGTCTCCACCTCACTCGGTCAGGCTCCTGACTCCAGCCTGGCTCCTCCATCCATCAGTTCTGCTGTGGGCCTTCATCCTGTCTTGGCTCTAGGTCATCCTCTGGCTCCTCCCATCTCCTCTCTGGTTCCTCCAATCTCTGCTCTGGTTCCTCCCATCTCCACCCTGGCTCCTCCCACCATTGTCTCCCCCTTGGGATTCTCTTCTTCCAGCCCCTTCAAGGTCATGTCTGTCTCCAGGTCCTCATTTCCACCAGAACCCCCTATCGCCTCTGCTGGACGTTTACAGCGTAAGGACGTGCTTTCCTGGGGGTGTAATGTCACGATCATGTCTTTAGTTCATAGTCATGTTCTGGTTCATTGTCTTGTTCCATTTAGTTTCTAGTCATGGTTTTCCTTGTCATTGTTTTGCCTGAATCATCTTTCATTCATTAGTTGTAATGGTTCCTTATTAGTACACACCTGTTCCCTGTTCTGTTGATATTTAAGCCCTCAGTTTTCCTCACTTCAACATCGTGTTAAAGTTATGGTAGTTGTGTTCTCTTCTGTGTTTATTAAAGTTATTCCTGATTGTTGGTTCTCCATCACACATTGTCTGTTGGATTATCTATACAGCTAAACTGTGTAATTAACAAATTTCTAGATAATAATTAGGGGTGTGACGTTTATTATATAACCGTGAGACCGACGGTTATAGTTGAACACCATCATTAGAACTCTATAACCGCCAAAACCGTGCTATTAAAATATTTGTACAAACATTTTTTATCATAGAGAATGTTTAAATACTAATATCAGCTTACGAGGGAAACGGAGGCGGAGTTAGTGGTGCTTCGGAGGCTGAGTGCTGGAGATGATTCGGGAGAGGTCTGTGCACCTTTACCGATCAGAGCGCGCGCTAACACGAAGTAAAGCCTTGTTTATACTCGACGCGTCCGCGAAGGTGCGCACGGCAAAAATGACGCGTTGGGGTCCGACCGGCAAGACCCCATTTCGCTTGGCTGTGTGCACGGCTTTTTTTGTAACAGCGGTCGCGGCGCCGCATCCGAGGATTAACGACTTAAGGCTGATTTATACTTCTGCGTCGGACCTACGCCGGAGCCTCTACGCTATAGACTACGCGTTGGTTTTCATTTATACTTCTGCGTTGTTGTCCACCTTGACGCGCAATTACGCATGCGGAGGGAGCATGTGAAACCCGGGGAGCGGTTCTAGCGGACCAATCACAGCGCTTGCGGTATGCGTAAAATTAACGCGTTGTTACATTTTTGGAGAGGTGCACGTCAGGGTACGTGCGCTACACACAGCCTACGACGTAGCTAGTAGGCCTCGAGGTCGACGCAGAAGTATAAATTGGGCTTTAAAGCCGAATCTGCCCGAGCATGTACGTCTCACCGTACCGGCATGCAGTTTGCGCGTCTAAATTGCAAAATTGCAGTTCATTGCAAAGTTTTTTTGTTAAGGTTTTGTTTACTGTGTGTGATTTATTTAAAACAAAACACGTTCATTGCAACGTTTTTTTGTTTTTTTTTGTTAAGGATTTGTTTACTGTGTGTGATTCATTTAATGGAAAGCACATTCACTTCTAGCACATTCACAAATTTTTTCTCTATAACTATAGCAATAATAATAATGTAAATTAAAATATAATTAGCTGGAAATATGTATTCAATGAAACAAAAGTAAATAGAACTACAGAAGCAATTAGCTTACATTAACATGAACTTCCTATTATTTTATACTGTACTTTTCTTTATACAATAATCATAAAAATGTAAATGATTCAAAAAATAATTTGTTCAGACTTTCGGAACCCACTTTATGTTTTCAGTAGTAAACTAGTGGATAAGAAGAATACAGACAGAGCAAAACCTGATCCTGGAACAGCCCTCCAGCTGTTACACTCTTTATGAGTAGGAAGCGGAAAACCATATTCCGGTGCAATCCTATCTTTCCTCTTCTAGATAAATGTGTTGGTGATGCAGGAGGTGAGTAAAGGCTTCGCGTAAGTATCTTTGAAGATCTTAAAGTAGTGTGGAAATTCCCAAGATCAAATAACATGGAAAAGGAGCAGGCTTTGTGTGAACAGGCCTAGAGTGTTTTTCTAATTCATCTGGGCTCTCTAACGCCCTCTGGTGTTTGAAATATAGAGGTGACCTATAACACAGCACTGAAATGCATAAACATAAATGTATAGCGACACCTTGTGGTTGACCATATTCACTACAAGTGTGCGATATTTGAAAAATTCAGACATACAAAACCATGTAAACAATCTTACTGGGATGCAGAACTCCTGCGAGAGGTACTTCAGTACAGCAGCTTCCTGGCCCAGTAGGTTACTCCTGTGCGTTAGATTACCCGGCAGCGACGTGTCAAACTCCTTCCTTACAACAGAGGCCACAGAATCCAAAATAAGGAGCCCCACTCGACAAGCAATTATGTCCTCCTCCAGACGCTCCAGTCTGTGTAACATCAGAGCAGCAATAAAACGCCCCACTAATGTGTGTTCACAAGATTAAATACAGCCTGGCCTACCAGGACCATCATGATCTTGTAGTCAATTTTAAATTCAGGATTTGTATTCATTGCATTTACATTTTACTTTTACATTCATGCATTTAGCAGACGCTTTGATCCCAAGCTAATTCAGTTGCATTTATTATTCTATACACTACTGGTGAAAGGTTTGGAATAATTGCGATTTTATGTTTTTGAAAGAAGTCTATATGCTCACCAAGGTAGGATTTATTTTGATAGATTATAATATATTAAAATGTAATTTTGATGTAATTTATTTTGCCACACAGCCAGATCATCCTGTAGCCAAAGACATAATTTTAACCTTATTATAAAATATTTTGCTTCTTTTTTTTTTTTTTTATCCAAAAGACAAGTGTAAGCATTTCAAATCTGTGAAATGGCGCTTTTCCACTGCATGGTGCGGCTCGGTTCGGCTCGGTTCGGCTCGGTACGGTTCGGCTCGCTTCGCTTTTCCACTGCGTGGTACGACTCGACTCGGTACGGCACGGTTCGGTTCGCTTTAGCTCGGTTGCTTTTCCACCGCAGTTAGTACCCCTTCAAAGTGGGTGGGACTGATCGTTATTTTGTCCCTACACTGTTTCTAGGTCCGGTGATAGCCGTGTGCGGCTAAGAGCTGAGCTACTTCTTGGAACACTTTTTCATTCCGGTTTGCCCCATCCAGCTCTCGCTGGATCCGCTCCTCGGCAACCAACGAGAGGAACGTCTGCACCTCCTCCACTGACCACGATTCAGCCATTTCTTTTTTAAAGATTTGATCTCTTTTTTTTCCAAGAAAGCAAAAAACAGATGCTACCGCATTGGCTGTTGTCTACTGGTTATTTAAATCTAGCGGGTTTAGTGTCTCGTGTCGCAAATCCAATGACGCTGGTAGTGACGATTCTGTCTGACCAATCAGTGATCTGCAGTGTTTTTACGTCACATTTTAGTACCGGTACGGTACGCTTGGAACCTCAACAGACCAGGTACCATTTAAAGCGAGCCGAAGCGAGCCGTACCGTACCGTACCATGCAGTGGAAAAGCACCACAAGTGAGCCGTACCGAACCGAACCGTACCGTACTATGCAGTGGAAAAGCGCCAAAGCGCGCCTTACCGAACCGTACCATGCAGTGGAAAAGCGCCAAAGCGCGCCGTACCGAACCGAACCGAACCGTACTATGCAGTGGAAAAGCGCCAAAGCGCGCCGTACCGAACCGAACCGTAATATGCAGTGGAAAAGCGCCAAAGCGCGCCGTACCGAACCGAACCGTACTATGCAGTGGAAAAGCGCCAAAGCGTGCCGTACCGAACCGAACCGTACCGTACTATGCAGTGGAAAAGCGCCAAAGCGCGCCGTACCGAACCGTACCGTACTATGCAGTGGAAAAGCGCCAAAGCGTGCCGTACCGAACCGAACCATGCAGTGGAAAACCACCACAAGTGAGCCGTACCGAACCGTACCGTACTATGCAGTGGAAAAGCGCCAAAGCGTGCCGTACCGAACCGAACCGTACCATGCAGTGGAAAACCACCACAAGTGAGCCGTACCGAACCGAACCGTACCGTACTATGCAGTGGAAAAGCGCCAAAGCGTGCCGTACCGAACCGAACCGTACCGTACTATGCAGTGGAAAAGCGCCAAAGCGTGCCGTACCGAACCGAACCGTACTATGCAGTGGAAAAGCGCCAAAGCGTGCCGTACCGAACCGAACCATACCGTACTATGCAGTGGAAAAGCGCCAAAGCGTGCCGTACCGAACCGAACCGTACTATGCAGTGGAAAAGCGCCAAAGCGTGCCGTACCGAACCGAACCGTACCGTACTATGCAGTGGAAAAGCGCCAAAGCGTGCCGTACCGAACCGAACCGTACCGTACTATGCAGTGGAAAAGCGCCAAAGCGTGCCGTACCGAACCGAACCGATCCGTACTATGCAGTGGAAAAGCGCCAAAGCGTGCCGTACCGAACCGAACCGATCCGTACTATGCAGTGGAAAAGCGCCAAAGCGTGCAGTACCGAACCGAACCGAACCGTACCGTACTATGCAGTGGAAAAGCGTCAAAGCGTGCCGTACCGAACCGTACCGTACTATGCAGTGGAAAAGCGCCAAGGCGTGCCGTACCGAACCGTACCGTACTATGCAGTGGAAAAGCGCCAAAAGAAAAGTGTGTTACTAATGGTTGAAGTAATATTGACTTTAATTGACTTTATTTAAATACAGACAGTTTATTCAACAAAGCACTGTTTAGTAATAAAAAATATAAAAATGTTTTGTTTTTCCCAATACTGTACCGAAAACATGCAGAACCATGACTTCAAAAAAGATGTGTACTAAAAAGTCATTTTTAATTTAAAGAGCATATTGCAGGTAATAAAAAAAAAAAAAAATTATATATAACCTTGTATGAAAATACCATATGAAAAGTTAATGCAGGGTTTAAAATGTTTTAAAACGACATAAGGGCACTAATTTAGTAGATAAAGTGAGCGTTTCTTGGACTGCTCGTAAAAACGGCTTTTTTTTTTTTCAACATCGCGTCATTTTACGTCACGACAGGGAGCCTCAGCCTCGCCTCAGTGCAGAGTAGGCTGGTATTCAGTGAGAGCAGTCGTGAGTCAGTGTGTTTTCGGTAGTTTTTGTATTTTAATTTATCATCGTCATGGTAAATTATTGTGTTTGTGGAGGTTGCAAAAACTCCGGCCTGTCAGGACATCGAGTCCACAGGTTTCCATAACAAGAAAAAGGACGGTGCTATACATCTTTCATGCCTGGTGCGGTTTGTGCAGGTGAAGAGACGGGATTTCTCTTCCGCTTCGACTTCGAAAAACGCGGTCATGTGTAGCGTTCACTTCAGATCAGAGGGTTATCATCCCGGCGATATGATGGAGTTTAACATGGGATGCCGCAGCATAAATATTGATCGTCTTATACTAACTGTACCAATGGCATCAAATATTGTGATATAGGTAGTCATGCCCTAAATAGAGGCAACTTGTAATTGAAAAACAAAATTACTAGGTTGTTTAAATATTCAAATCTTTACTTTTCTGTTTATGTTTTAACCCAGGTGAAAAATATGTATTAAAAATGTACTTGAGTATGTTTTTAGTACAGTACAAATATACTCATGTATAGTTAGTATATATCTACCCTAAACATACTCATGTCTGCTGGCCTGATATATGATAGCAATAATCTGTACAATATTGTGAGCACAGTGTATATCGTTAGCGAACGTGTATATATCTATTAGCTAACACTGGTCTCTCTCACTAAGACAGCTGTCCTGTTCTCCACTGGTTCTCCTCACACCACAACTCAATTTGTCTCTGACCGTTCTGTCTGACATTAGTCCTGGCCTGTCCTGCTCTCTTGGCAGCAATACTCATACGAGTAAGTATTTCCTCAGCGTCCGAAATGTCATTGCGATCCATTGTTTTCCTGTTGTTTGAATCGACCGCTCTCCCGCCCGTTACGTCACGCCCATTTTCAGACGCGGAAGTAAAATTTTAGTAAAGAAAATATAGTTCCTACGTTATTTTTCTATACATTGACTCGTTGGGTCCTCTAACCTGCAATATGCCCTTTAAATAAAAAACGTATTTTTAATTGTAATATTTTTTAACAATATTACTGTTTTTACTGTATTTGTTTGATAAATGGTGAGCATCAGAGACTACTTTCAAAAACATAAAAAAAACATTATTTTATTTTGATAGGTAGTGTACATTTTATCACTTCATGGCATGCATTTGCTTAGAATCGAACCAAAGACATTGGCATTGCACGCTTCATGATTTACTGTTAAGAGCTACAAGGAAACACCTAAAAAGCAGTGAATCTCATGAATAAAAGGATATAATGGCAAGTGTCATTTTTTAATTAAAAACTATTATTTTAAAAGTACAGTAACTGGAATTAAATAGTATGTGTTTGGGATGTGTTCTAACCTATTCAGGACATCCTGACAGGTCAATTCCCTGAAGAGATGAACACGAGATGCCATCTCCAGCAGACGCTCCTTCACCGAGAAGAATTCTGGGAATCGGGCCTGTGCCATTTCTATCAGTCTTAGAGAGGAAGATGCTTAGTTTAAGAGGAAACACAAAAAAGTGCATATCAAAGAGAGCGTGCAAACGTTTTTAACACCTTTCAGCAGAGAATGCCGACTCTGTGTCGATGTAGATGACTCCACTGTCCAGACCTCCCATGCTCTTCGGCAATGTAGCCAAAACGCTGAGCATAATACAGAACTGAGTCTTTCCACAGCCTGATGGGCCGGTCACCTGAGAACACAGACAGTGTCATGATTACTTGAAGAGACAGTTTACTCAAAATGACAATCGCCATTATTTACGGTACTCACTTTCATGTCAAAATCTAAATGTGAACTGGCATTTTAATCTGTACCCTCATGAACTGTGATTTTTATTTAAGAACCAGGATTCACCCAGTCTTGGAAAACCTGGATATATATGAGGTATTTTTTAGACCTGGAACAGTCATGGAAATTGATCAAATATAAAAAATATTGATTAAATGTACAAAAATAGCATTGACATTTCTATAAATGAGATTTTATATAATTATGTCAAAAGCGCTAAAATATTTTATCAGGTAGAAATTGCTATTTCTGAGTAAAAAAAAATATTTGTTTTACATTTCAAATGACTTGAAAAGGTGTTCATAATTTAATAATTTTATTTATTGATTTACAAATAATTTAATCACTTTAATTATTTTAAATGATTTCTTTTTATATATATATATATATATATATATATATATTCACTCCTATTTTCTGAAAAATTAGCAACTTTGTACAGCAGAAACATCTTTGGGGGACTTTGAATATTGGGGGGACTTGGATTTAAAAAGGTTGTAAAACTTCTATTGTAGTGAAGAGAAGGGAGGTGAACAGGTAGTAATGCAAACGCAAGTCTCTTTCAGACACACACTGACTTGTCAGCTCGTCTGAGGAGAAGTGCTGGTACGCGTCAGGATTTTTAACAAGTCTGTCTCTCTCCATCACAGTTTCTCTCATCAGCCTTGGGGTCTAGAGTTAACCCATAATATTACAACCAGAGAGCACGTTGTTTCAAAGCAGCAACTTCAAAGTCATTTAAAACTCTGACTAAATAAATAAAGCATGTTAAAATGACCAATACTGGCATTATTGTTTAATTTGGCTTTCTAAAAACTGGCCAGAAATTATTCTTCTATTATTATTTATGTATTAATATATTATTTACAAAAATCAGATAATACTTTACACAGTACAAATAGGTTTTTATACAATACAGTATGTGTTTTTATATTTTATATATAAACATATTTGGCTCTCGATGACATCAACTAAACTAATTGTTTAAAACCCAAGAAATAGGGGATTCGCTATTTTAAAGGACGCATTTAAATGTCACTTCCAAAACGGTTTGCAGTTTGTATGTGGCCATAGAATTCTTTTTTTTCTTTTCTTTTTTTTTTTTAAGTTCATACTAGTGACAATGGAAAAGCACCATAAAATAGTCTGTACATCTTGTGTGCTATATTCTATACTTTTAAAGCTATAAAATTGCTTTGTGTAAGGAAAAGAAATTGTATTTCACTGATCAACTTTTCCTCCGATGACGCTTTTAATCAACTATTATGCAAGTTTAACATCATGATTAATGATATTTGATCTCACTGACATCTAAGCAGCATAATGGAATAATTTTTTTTTGAAATTGTGTTGCATAAGGAAAATAACATCATTGGAATTTCATGATATAGAAGCATATGGAAGCGAAAGTATACATACATGGGCTATACATTATATATATATATATATATATATATATATATACACTCACCGGCCACTTTATTAGGTACCCCATGCTAGTAACGGGTTGGACCCCCTTTTGCCTTCAGAACTGCCTCAATTCTTCGTGGCATAGATTCAACAAGGTGCTGGAAGCATTCCTCAGGGAGTTTGGTCCATATTGACATGATGGCATCACACAGTTGCCGCAGATTTGTCGGCTGCACATCCATGATGCGAATCTCCCGTTCCACCACATCCCAAAGATGCTCTATTGGGTTGAGATCTGGTGACTGTGGAGGCCATTTTAGTACAGTGAACTCATTGTCATGTTCAAGAAACCAATTTGAAATGATTAGAGCTTTGTGACATGGTGGAAGTAGCCATCAGAGGATGGGTACATGGTGGCCATAAAGGGATGGACATGGTCAGAAACAATGCTCAGGTAGGCCGTGGCATTTAAACGATGCCCAATTGGCACTAAGGGGCCTAAAGTGTGCCAGGAAAACATCCCCCACACCATTACACCACCACCACCAGCCTGCACAGTGGTAACAAGGCATGATGGTTCCATGTTCTCATTCTGTTTACGCCAAATTCTGACTCTACCATCTGAATGTCTCAACAGAAATCGAGACTCATCAGACCAGGCAACATTTTTCCGGTCTTCAACTGTTCAATTTTGGTGAGCTCTTGCAAATTGTAGCCTCTTTTTCCTATTTGTAGTGGAGATGAGTGGTACCCGGTGGAGTCTTCTGCTGTTGTAGCCCATCCGCCTCAAGGTTGTGCGTGTTGTGGCTTCACAAATGCTTTGCTGCATACCTCGGTTGTAACGAGTGGTTATTTCAGTCACTGTTGCCCTTCTATCAGCTCGAACCAGTCTGGCCATTCTCCTCTGACCTCTGGCATCAACAAGGCATTTCCGCCCACAGAACTGCCGCTCACTGGATGTTTTTTCTTTTTCGGACCATTCTCTGTAAACCCTAGAGATGGTTGTGCGTGAAAATCCCAGTAGATTAGCAGTTTCTGAAATACTCAGACCAGCCCTTCTGGCACCAACAATCATGCCACGTTCAAAGTCACTCAAATCAACTTTCTTCCCCATACTGATGCTCGGTTTGAACTGCAGGAGATTGTCTTGACCATGTCTACATGCCTAAATGCACTGAGTTGCCGCCATGTGATTGGCTGCTTAGAAATTAAGTGTTAACGAGCAGTTGGACAGGTGTACCTAATAAAGTGGCCGGTGAGTGTATATATATATATATATCATGTATAGCCCATGTATGTATACTTTCATAATACATAATAGTTGATATATATTGCCTACTGTATAATATATGTATATATATATATATATATATATATATATATGTATACATATATATACACACACTCACCTAAAGGATTATTAGGAACAGCATACTAATACTGTGTTTGACCCCCTTTCACCTCCAGAACTGCCTTAATTCTACGTGGCATTGATTCAACAAGGTGCTGAAAGCATTCTTTAGAAATGTTGGCCCATATTGATAGGATAGCATCTTGCAGTTGATGGAGATTTGTGGGATGCACATCCAGGGCACGAAGCTCCCGTTCCACCACATCCCAAAGATGCTCAATTGGGTTGAGATCTGGTGACTGTGGGGGCCATTTTAGTACAGTGAACTCATTGTCATGTTCAAGAAACCAATTTGAAATGATTTGAGTTTTGTGGCTTCACAAATGCTTTGCTGCATACCTCGGTTGTAACGAGTGGTTATTTCAGTCAAAGTTGCTCTTCTATCAGCTTGAATCAGTCGGCCCATTCTCCTCTGACCTCAAGCATCAACAAGGCATTTTCGCCCACAGGACTGCCGCATACTGGATGTTTTTCCCTCTTCACACCATTCTTTGTAAACCCTAGAAATGGTTGTGCGTGAAAATGAGCAGATTGTGAAATACTCAGACCGGCCCGTCTGGCACCAACAACCATGCCACGGTCAAAATTGCTTAAATCACCTTTCTTTCCCATTCCGACATTCAGTTTGGAGTTCAGGAGATTGTCTTGACCAGGACCACACCCCTAAATGCATTGAAGCAACTGCCATGTGATTGGTTGATTAGATAATTGCATTAATGAGAAATTGACAGGTGTTCCTATAATCCTTTAGGTGAGTGTATATATATACATACACATATACACTCACCGGCCACTTTATTAGGTACACCTGTCCAACTGCTCGTTAACACTTAATTTCTAAGCAGCCAATCACATGGCGGCAACTCAGTGCATTTAGGCATGTAGACATGGTCAAGACAATCTCCTGCAGTTCAAACCGAGCATCAGTATGGGGAAGAAAGGTGATTTGAGTGACTTTGAAAGTTGCATGATTGTTGGTGCCAGAAGGGCTGGTCTGAGTATTTCAGAAACTGCTAATCTACTGGGATTTTCACGCACAACCATCTCTAGGGTTTACAGAGAATGGTCCGAAAAAGAAAAAACATCCAGTGAGCGGCAGTTCTGTGGGCGGAAATGCCTTGTTGATGCCAGAGGTCAGAGGAGAATGGCCAGACTGGTTCGAGCTGATAGAAGGGCAACAGTGACTGAAATAACCACTCGTTACAACCGAGGTATGCAGCAAAGCATAAAGCATTTGTGAAGCCACAACACGCACAACCTTGAGGCGGATGGGCTACAACAGCAGAAGACTCCACCGGGTACCACTCATCTCCACTAAAAATAGGAAAAAGAGGCTACAATTTGCAAGAGCTCACCAAAATTGAACAGTTGAAGACTGGAAAAATGTTGCCTGGTCTGATGAGTCTCGATTTCTGTTGAGACATTCAGATGGTAGAGTCAGAATTTGGCGTAAACAGAATGAGAACAAGGAACCATCATGCCTTGTTACCACTGTGCAGGCTGGTGGTGGTGGTGTAATGGTGTGGGGGATGTTTTCCTGGCACACTTTAGGCCCCTTAGTGCCAATTGGGCATCGTTTAAATGCCACGGCCTACCTGAGCATTGTTTCTGACCATGTCCATCCCTTTATGGCCACCATGTACCCATCCTCTGATGGCTACTTCCACCATGTCACAAAGCTCTAATCATTTCAAATTGGTTTCTTGAACATGACAATGAGTTCACTGTACTAAAATGGCCTCCACAGTCACCAGATCTCAACCCAATAGAGCATCTTTGGGATGTGGTGGAACGGGAGATTCGCATCATGGATGTGCAGCCGACAAATCTGCGGCAACTGTGTGATGCCATCATGTCAATATGGACCAAACTCCCTGAGGAATGCTTCCAGCACCTTGTTGAATCTATGCCACGAAGAATTGAGGCAGTTCTGAAGGCAAAAGGGGGTCCAACCCGTTACTAGCATGGGGTACCTAATAAAGTGGCCGGTGAGTGTATTATACAGTAGGCAATATAAATATATATATATATATATATATATATATATATATATACACACACATATTGTCAAGCCCTGCTGTATTTTGTTTTAGCAAGTATTTGATTATTTTACCCAGAGAAAAATGTTGGATTATGCAACAGACATTATATAATTCAGGGCCTTCACGCAGTTAATTAATAAACCATCAGTTTGTTATATAGGCCTTTTTCATGCTATAGCCGATATTCAGATGGTTTTAAATAGTTTAAAATCGGACGATAAATATCGGCGGCCGATACATCGGTGCATCTCTAGTTTAGACTTTTCCCTACTATTTCAACTAGTAAGTCATAATTTCAACATTTTACATCATAGTTTAGACTTTTCTGATTATGACTTAAGCCGGATGCACACTGTACGATTTATAAAAGTAATTTACGACTGTTTCTTTTCAGAATGTACTAACATGATCCCCACTGTAATCCATGTCACACTGTAGGATCACAGTCATAAATGTCCGACTGCACGGCGGTCAAGACGCATTAAAAACGAACGCACTCAAGAAAACTCATCTGGAGTTTTAAATCATCAATCCGTGATACGGTGACTCTGAGCTGCATTTACATGAGGAATAGAAATGATAGCTAGAAAACAAAAACAATCTCTAGCGTTAATTTTGATCATGGCTTTTCTTGAAAAGAAAACTGGGGGGAAAAAACTAAGATGTGTGTGCATAGCATGTGGCAGTTTGTTGTCTCACTAATCGCGTCTTCAGTTTCTGCGCTCCTATTGTTTTTTTATTTGATGGTTGTTGTAGGAGAAGCCACACTGTAGGACTATGCCTTCAAATTTCTGACACTGCCAAAATTTCGTCTGATGTCAAATTCATCAGAATTCCGTCTGATGAAAATTATGGAATAAATTGAACTGGAAAATTCAATTTGTTCTTACATAATTTTGTGACTTCTATTACCACCATTCACTCCTTGCTTCCTTTGATTTCTGCTCCAAGAAACTGGTTCCGTCCAATAATTAACATTTGTCGTGGCATTTTGCGTGTTTCTTCTAGTGAAGATTCTTCTTCTTCTTCTTCTTCTTCTTCTTCTTCTTCTTCTTCTTCTTCTTCTTCTTCTATGTGACTGCTGAGATCTCACAAGATTATTGGTCCAGACTCCAGATAGCCTTGTTCTTCTATAAGGTAGTATCACTTATCTTGTGCAACATTATAGGCTATAGCTATTGAAACAAATATCAAACAGTATCAAGTTGAGTTTGCCCTCTCTCTCTCTCTCTCTCTCTCTCTCTCAGTCCCTGTCTCCTATGTACCGAGATTTTGATTGTTCTAGAAAATTGCAGAACATTCTAAACAGTTCTAGGAAGTTTTAGGAAGGGCTACTTACTTATAAGCAGTAACATCTGTTATGGTTGTTCCAATAGGCTTTATGCACTGCTTCACTGCTTCCTGAACTTTAGCCAGCACTTTGTTTCCTGTCTGTCATTATTGGACAAACTGATTAATCCAGGTGTGCCTGATTATTGTTACTGAGGCCAGGCACACCTGGATTAATCAGTTTGTCCAATAATGACAGACAGGAAACAAAGGGCTGGCTGAAGTTCAGGAAGTAGTGAAGCTGTGGCATAAAGCCAATTGTTTATCTAAAATGACTTGTTTTAACTTAGAGAAATTAGGGCCTTTTTCACTGTTATTAAGCAAAAGTTCATCAATTTATGATAGAGTAAAGCTTTTATTTGAAAAATAGTCAAAAAGTTAACCCATAGTGTGCATCCGGCTTGTCAATTTCGACTGTTTATCTCATAATAATGATTTACAACTTAAGATTTTCATTTCATTGTGTGGTAAAAACGGGATTCAACAGCATGAGGGGGAAGTAAATGGCATAATGTCAATTTAGAATGATACAGAAGTAGACCACTGTACCTCAGTGAGAGCACCCCGTGGCAGACCTCCCTGCAGTAATCTGTCCAGGACAGGAAGTGATGTGGAGAAACACAGCTCTCCCTTTTTCCTCCATAAATCCAGTGCCTGCCACCAAAAACAGCATTACTACTAATGAAAGGCTTCGCGCGTTAAGTCAACAGGACCTCATGGGGTGTGTGAGTGACTTACGGTTCTCACGGCCGGTGAACAAGCTTTACTGACCAGACGCAGGAGCTCCAGAGCAGCGGAATAACTGAGTCCGGCCAGCCGCATGAGCTCCACGGGAGTGGCAGACAGAACATCCTAAAGGGCAAAGTTACATAAGTCTTCACCGTACGACTGTTCCTCCAACAGCTGGGCATTAATAAAAGAGCAGGTCAGGATGGTTGAACTCTCTTACCTGGCAGGTTTCCACCTGATGCCGCTTGAGTCGCTCGCAGAGATCAGCTGAGACGCCCGTCCTCCGTAACTTCTTGCTTGCCATTGACACACACACACACACACATACAAAACCTTAAAAGAGTTATGAAATCGTGATATAACTATAATTGGCTAAATGACAACCTTCGGTAACGACTGTACACATGATACAGACAGTAGGTTTTGGTTTAATAAATAAAAAAAACACCGTTATGAGTTTTGCGAAGCGCGCCCGGAAACGAACAAAAAAACACAGCGCATGTGGATTGTGGGTAATGTAGTTTATAATACTAATATAAAAAACCGTAGTAATATGATCAAAGGGCTCATAAACAAAAATATAAACCAGGACAATAAAGGACTAAAATAGTAAATATTCTGGCATATTGTAGATGAGCATACCTTTACTGTCTTATTTCTAGCCTACTCTGTTTTAACAAAAAATAACCGTGGTTTTATAGTAAAAGTGTAGTAAACAGTTTTTGGCAGATTGATTACCATTTGTATAACCACAGTTTTACTACACATACCATGGTTAAACTATGGTTAGTGTAGCAAAACCATGTGGTTAATTTGTGGTTACCATGGTTTACAGTAACTACAATAAGACAGTTTGTTGGTTTTATTTGTATAGTAAATACCATGGTTAATTTTCATAAGGGTTAAAGTATTTTAAACTCCAAAATATTTTCACAAAATAATGAACTAGAGTAAATGAGGGTTTACATTTCTTCCATTTACATGTGTGTATGTGATATTTATTATATCATAAATGTATGATGACAAAAATCATTTTCAGTGGGCCACTCTTGATGAACAATAACAAAATTATTTTGATAATTGATCATGACACTGAAAGAATTATGTTGATTAAACATTGATAGGGGATGCCATAATAATGATGATGTTGTGTTTATAACTAAAGAATGTTATGGTTTAACAGCTGAAATCATAATCCTATTTACCATATTGTTTGTTTTGGCTTGATTAAATGCTTTCCTCTTAAACCTCTTAATGTTTTGATAACCTTGGTGATCCTCCCAAGTTATTTTTGTCATGCCTCGCTGTCAACTCTGCCCTCTTGACGTCAGTACGATGGAGGTCTTTTTATGATTTCCTCATTTTAATAATCCTGGGAATTTTCTTGAGAAGAGACTTAATTTACACCTGCATGGAGGAGAAGTGTGGTAAGATTCAACCAATTTCAGGGTCTACACAAAGAGAAGAGACAGAAAACTGTCAGAAGATCTAAAAAATTTAAGTAAAATCAACTTAAATTAGCCTACATTAAACTGACTTAAAAAATCGTTGAATCTTGAATAACTTTTTTTTTTTTAAATGAAAATTGCTTTACACATGTTGTCATAGCTCTCAGAAAAAAAAGTTCAAAAGCAAAGGTACATATTTGTTCCTAGTACCTCAAAGGTAGCCTACATATTGGTACCAAAAGTGTACGTATTAGTACCTAAATGGCACATATTAGACACTTTTGAAAGAGTACCATCCCAGTGACAGCTTTTGTACCTATTTTTTTTTTAGAGAAAAGAGTTCCAACGTTCCACTTGGCTAAAAATGCAAGGGAGTGAGATGACAAATTTAAAGTATTTCCCACAGTTTTTTTAACATGGTAAATGTGTGGGACCCACTGTACCAATCATAAATAGTTTAGAGTCATTATGGCTTTTGAAAATAAAGATTCCTTTTTTTGGAGTGTATAATAGTCGCCACATCAGATGACCAAGTCTTTGAGGAGATCATTGTGATAAAATCAGTTCCAGAAATATTTTAAATATCTATAATCAAATCAAACTGCCTCAAATACCCTTTTAAATGGAAAGACATGCCCTAGAGAAACTCTCTGACCCGTCACAGACGTTTGAGCCACAAGTAGGCTATTTGAGAATGCTCTCATATGGCATCTGACGGCCGGTGTGAAGTTTGACTGGGACACACAGGAGACCCATGTATGGACAAAGTATCGGGCCTGTCTTTCACTATCTCTGTACCTGATAGAGATAAGCAGCCTGTCTGTGACACTTGGCAAAAGATCCACCGCCAAGGTCTGGTTAAAATAGACTGAGAGGAATTACTGCAGATAAATCTGTCCGATATAAATATACATATAATATATCATTTTAATATAAATTACTTAAGTAAAATATTGAATGCAACAGAACTCAAAACATCATTTTGTCAATTGTTAATTATAAATACCCTGTGGGGGAAACTGTTTGAAATACAGACACATGCAGGACTTTTATAAAGCTTAAACATTCTCAACAAAATCAATCGTCCTGAACCGATGTTTAAAGGTTTCTGTGCTCAACAACATGATCCACCTGTTTCTGTCTACAGTAAATGGCCCTTGTTCGTTGCTATCAGTGGTTCCTTCATTTATTGATTTACTTTATTTGTTCACTTGTTATTCTAGTTCTGTAAACAGCACTGTAATGGCATACAAGGGTCAAAATGGATAAATGCAAACAGTTTGAAAAATGTCAGTGGCATTCTCTTCATTTGTATCTCACACATACGCCATACTCCTCTTGCTTTCTCTTTTATAAGCGGGTCAAAAACAGCATGTGTATGAGGGATTATTCATTCAGTCCTTTAAGTCGCCATGAAGACAATATTGAAGTTTTTTGTCTTTTACTATGAATATGTTAGCCTTGCTGTTATCTATAAGCTAGTGTGCTCCAAAACAATGACAAAATTCACATTTAGAAGATATAAGCGTTCAAAACGTACAGTCTCTCACTTCCGCCAAAATGGATGAATGATTTTGAAGACTTCACTCTGCACTTTAGCTTCTTATCACATTTCCTGTCCAATCAAATGCTCTCTAGAATATAAAGCCCCGCCCCCAAATAGACACTGAAGCTGTGGATAAAATTGGTCACTTGTTCTCATGGTGAATGGCAAATAGTGCACTATATAGGGGATAGGGAATGATTCAGACAGTATAAATATGATTTCCATTGGGGGCGAATGAAGTCTGGTTTCATGATAGTGTCGCGTGGACCACCGCGGACACAGTCTACTCCGGTCCAGAGACACGATAGCACAGAGCGGATCATGTGCGCGAACCGCCGCAGACCGCAAAATATATACGACCCATTTGAATTCTACAGAATGCTGTATTTTGGAGGAGATTAGGAGGAGAAAAGGTTAGAGATTAGGAGGAAACTGTGGCTTTACCAAGCTCAACTGCTCTGGTCGAACTAATATAAACGAAAAGCTATTGGCTATTTTTAAAAAAGGGAGGAGCTGCTCGATATGTCCCGCCCTGTTTTCCTGTTTCAGTGGAAAGTACTTCAACACATTGAATAATGCTGTGTGTTTCAAGGCACTTCAGTGGGCCTTTAAAGTCACTTCAAATTAGGCCTTGTTTTAAAGTCCCCCTGTGGTGAAGTTTTTAATGTTGTTTATGTCTATGTGGTGTTTTTAATATGCTTTAAGACAAACCATGTGCAAATTCATCAGTCATTGCTGAGTATTTTCTCCTTAAAACTGCAGTGAACCAAAGACAGTCTCAAAAAAGGCAGTTTGACACGCCCCTGTCTCCTACCGTCACAAACATGTAGCCAATCCCGTCACGAGAGGGGCAGGGCTTTTCTACACTGACTTTCTAAAGGCCTGTTCACACCGGGACGAATTTCGCGATATTCACCGACGTTTAACGCCTCGTGACTAAACAAAGGGCGCCAATGTTAGTGTGCACACCAACACGATAAAAACGTCACGCCTAAAAGCGTCATTTTTTTTTTTAAACGCCTCGGGTTCGTTTTTTTAGTTTGACGCACCGCGTCAAAGACTATCCGACCAATGAGATTGGCGCTTTTGCTCACGTGTCTGGAGCTTCTGAAGTTACAGTAAAACACAACTTGGGGGCGCTCAAACACAAAACGGTCTTGCCGCGCACACATACGTAACGGCGAAGAAGATATACGCCAAGTAGCGTCTACACTGCCGGGAAGAAATAAGACGAGGAAGATGCAAGGCAAGATGAATGTAGAGCTGCTGGTCTCGTTGGTTTCGGAACATAAATAACTATATGACAAACGTGACAGCGACTACAAAAATCTTGATAAAAGAGAATGTTATGGAGTGGTATTGCAGAGCAAATGGGCGCCATCTAATGTCAGGGAATGAATTTGCATGTTCACTCGGCTCATCGTCAGCGAAAATCGCTTGGGTGTGAACACAAAAAACGCGTTAAAAAACGCTGGCGAATAACGCGCGCCAATATTCGTCCCAGTGTGTACGACCCTTAAGGATGTTGGTTGTTAGGAGGCAGCTGTCTGACTCTATAGCAAATGGGAACATGGTTTGTGTAACATTAGCAACACATTATTAGCTGTTTGATAACATAGTCAAGCCAAAGGCTTATCAATTACCGTTATGTCAGACGTTGTAGAGAGCGATAGGCTACATAAAACGCGTTACCATTTGTAGACAACCCTGTAAAATTCCCTCTTCCTCTTCTTCTGAATCAGTTTCTGGTTCAAACATATATGACTGAATTAAACCAGTATTTTCACTTGCCATTATGTAGCGACAGCGTTAACTACAGTAAAGTTAAGCGAGTGGATCAGGTAGTCCGAGCTGGTGTGATTGAGTGGAGGCTGGGCTAATTTGCATATTTATTTCACAGGGGAAAAACATTTAAATATGTCATTTTGATTATAAAAGATGAGTTTTAAGGGATACAATTATTGAATGCAGGGGGACTTTAAGAAATGTTCTCTGAAATGTTCTTTGGGGAACCCAAAATGCTTCTTTTGGAACCTTTATTTATAAGAGTGTGTCCTGCTACCCCTATATTACTATTTGGAAATAAAAAAATATAAATTCAAGATGATGAAATTTAGGGCAAAAGTCTCAAATAGCCTATATTACACATAAATTATTTCACTACACCATATAATATAGGAAAAGCAGCCGTGTTACCTGATATTGGATTTGGAATCAGCACATTGATTTAAGAACATTGACAAAGAAACAGGGTTTAAATGACATTTAATTATTCAGTAAAAATATTAAATAATTTAGTAGGTCTCTCAGTCATAGCTCCATGAGATCTCAATTTCAAAATTGTAATCATCTTAAACGAGTCAATATTTACTTACAGTTTATGCATTTAAATGTGTGGTGGTGGTGTTGTATTGGTTGATCAAATATATTCACTCAAAGCTGTTCACATAAAAAAAAAATGAAAAGGTATTCATCCAGTTTTGTTTTGTATTAAAATTTTTATATTGATATATCAATTATATAATCTTTTATATCATTTCCATTATGTCTGTGCTGTGTATAGCTCTGCAGACAGAGGGGGAAAGAGCAGACATCAGTAGTTTAATGAACTGAAGGGTGAGCACATTCACAAGCCCCCTGACGTCATCGAGGGAGGATCCGCGCTCGCGCTGGCAATGTTGAAAGAGAGGATGCGCTCGCGCTCGGAGCATCGCTAAGAACGAAGGAGTCGCATTTACTGTGTCAGATCTAAATTAAAGACAACTTGCTCATATCAAAAGGAAACCCTAGCTTTGCACGGAACATGGCATCAAAATGTCCCAAATGTGACAAAACTGTTTATTTTGGTAAGTCATCAATTTTGCTTCCTTTTCGAAATTCCATGAATAAAACAATGCACACGCTGTCTGCAACGTAGATGTCATGATAGTGTGAATTTCGCCTACTTTCATTCTCATTTATCGTGGTATGCGTTGTAAATAACGTCTACAAACCACCCAGTGTGGGCTTGATAATTAACTGGCTAATCATGAGTGCACGATATTCTTACTAAATTAATTACGTTTTATGATTAAGATTTGTACCTGATTACAGACGCGGCAGCTAATACAACTATTTTATCTGCTGAGATTTGAGATACAATGAATATTGAAGTGGTGCAGTGAAATAAATACCATGGAAATCGCCAATATGAACAAGTTTTTGGTTATTACTGAATTAATAATGTATGACGCATGAAATGCAGAATCGGGATGAATGAAAAGCCTATATAACTGTGTATTACACATGACACTTAGAGCTCAGAATCCCATAGTTTATATTATTTTGTTATGGGTTACTACAATAGGTAAATATAATAATCAGGTGGATTATAAAACTCAGGTTCATATTCGTTATTTTATGTAGCCTACTAAGACACATAATAGCCTACTATCCTACATAATTAGCATCAGCCAATAGCCTACAACACCACCACAAATTGAAATGCATAACTAGATTGAACATTCAGTTTTAATCTGGTTTGACCCATTTAATGCGGTTAACACTTTCTACACTATACATTATTTATAGGCCTTTACTTTCCTTTCATTCTCAAAAAGCCTCCTGTGAATGTAGTGTTTGCCACATTTTGATTTATTGGATTATGTTAAACAGTGCTCTGCTTTTGTCTTCCTCTTTATCTTCTCTGGTTGCATAGATGGAAATTTATTTTAAACTGCAGGTGTCATTTGGCATTTGTCCCTATGTAATTAGTCATTATTTATTATTTATCATTAACTTCTGTCAGCTAGAATACATTTTTGTAAAACTCCCTACAAGGTTTCATTTTTATACTAAAACATACTCTCACTGTAAATGAACAGCATTAGTTTTGAGCAACACACCATGACGCTCAACATGTCCCTGTTTACACCTGGTATAAGATGCGTTTTGGTCGATCGGATCACAAGTAGACGAGGGAGACACAAACCTGTTTACACCTGTTGTTTTAATCCATCTCTTTTGTCCACTCTCTTCCACATTCGACTTTTGCTCTCATAGTGTGGACACTTGTGTGGTCAAATGCATCTGAATAGCCACAAAAGACCATCTACTCCCTCTGCCTACTGAGCTAATGTGTAAACATTATGGGAAGCGCACTAGCCAGGACGGGACTTAAACCTTTCGGTTTCGTTGGAAGACGAAAAACGTACCAAGCATGTTCTCTCACCATTCCTGATTTCTAACACACACTCACAGCGTTCGGCATGGTCTTATAGCAGCTGTCAGAGCAAAAACTAAAACTACTGCTCTCCTTGGATTTTTCTGCTTCGTGTTCATATGTAACTTGTGCAAGCTTATTTCGTCCATTAGATTGAAAGATCTGGAAAAAAACCCCATACATTTACCGGTACCCGCCCATAGACCCTCCCCTCAAGAAATCAGGACAGAAGTGGTTGAAAGTGGACAAAAGAGACGGATTAAAACACCAGGTGTAAACGGGAATGTGTATCCCTCATCTAGTTGAGATCCGATCGACCAAAACGAATCTTTAAGTCCCCCTGTAGTCCATAATTTTATCCCTTAAAACTCATCTTTGATCACCAAAATTACATATTTAAAAAACAAATTCCTTCTTGCCTTAAAATAGCTTGAATGTAACTTTACACCCTTGCCTCATTTAGTATACGCGGTTCTATGAATATGCAAATGAGCCCCGCCTCCACTCACTCACTCAGCTCAGAGATCCACTCGTTGACGATCACAGGTTGACCTGATTGGTTACAAGGTAGTTTGTGACATCAGAAACACCAGCGATTTCAAACTGTTTTTGAGATTTTCTTTGGTTCACTGCAGTTTTAAAGAGAAAATACTCAGCAATGCTGTTGACTAATGAATTTGCACATGGCTTCTATTAAACACACACCACATAGACATATAAACAACATTAAAAACTTGATTTTCACCACAGGGGGGCTTTAATATCATGTGTAAACAGGGCCTAAGATTAGCAGATTAAAAAATTATCCGTGCTAATATCATATGCTGAGTCTGAGCTGACTCCCTCCCACTGAGCACTATAGCCTAATAATTAACATGTGAGAATCTACTTTGTCTCTGGCTGCTACTAGCTCTCATGAGACTTGAACAGCTGAGCAGTGTGACCTGGAAAAAGCATTCCTATTAAATTGAATACCACATAAAGTCTTTAAGTACTCAAGCTGGCACACGGCTACTTTGAAATGGCTTTCAGTGGAGGAACACCCTTTGTGCCCACATAATTGTGCAGTTATGCCATAAGGCTACTGCGGAAGCGAACCACTTCTTCATCCTCTGATGTGTGCAGGACTTTCTCTCTTCAATCAGTATTTAATAACCTTTTTGTCCTTAAAGAGTTAGTTCACCCAATTTCTGTCATTAATAACTCACCCTCATGTCGCTCCAAACCTGTCAGACCTTCGTTCATCTTCGAAACACAAATGAAGATCTTTTTTATGAAATCCGAGAGCTTCCTGACCCCCCTATAGACAGCAACGTCATAACCACTTTCAAGGCCTAGAAAGGTAGTAAAGACATCTTTAAATAGTCCATGTGACTACAGTTCAACCTCACCGTTATGAAGCGACGAGAATACTTTTTGTGTGCAAAAAAAGAAAACGACTTTATTCAACAATTCATTCTCTTCCCTGTCAGTCTCTGCACTGTTCACGTGAGCATTTAGTTCACGTGAGCATTTTCATTTAGGGTGAACTAACCCTTTAAAGACACCATGAAATCAAAATTGACAATTCTTGTTGTTTATGCAATATTTATTTATAAATAATTTATCCATGTACATCCTAATTTTTTTTTTTAATTCATGTCCTCTCGTAATTTTTAATCAAAATAACATCCCCTCTTCTCTTATCTGATGATGAGTTTACTGGCGTGAGGGCGGGGCAATCTGATGTCACTCACATGAGATCGACCAATAGCAAACCACAACTTGACAATTCTTGTTGTTTATGCAATATTTATTTTTAAATAATTTATCCATGTACATCCTAATTTTTTTTTTTAATTCATGTCCTCTCGTAATTTTTAATCAAAATAACATCCCCTCTTCTCTTATCTGATGATGAGTTTACTGGCGTGAGGGCGGGGCAATCTGATGTCACTCACATGAGATCGACCAATAGCAAACCACAACCATCCAATGATCCAATATTGTGCCCAATTGTCAAAATCAAGTCACGCTCTTTTTTTTTTCTTGTTTGATTTCACTCGAATATACGTCACAATAGGAAAGAAAATACAATACGACTTTAAGTTATTAGAAAATAAGAAAATACTACTTTAAGTTATTAGATTATTTAGATTATTAGTTTATCTAAAACTCTTTTTCAGTTTTGTTTCTTTCTGTCAGACTGAAATTTGCTATGCATATCCTCAATATGGAAATAGCTAATTTGATACTCAGGTGAAGTGGGCATCATGCAACCAATAAGCAGAACAGCAAATCTAGACAAGGACTAATTACTGTCTGTTCAACTCTCTGCACATTCGTCTGCACCACAAAACATTTCGTTTTTCAAACTGTTAATTTCTAGCCAGATGCGATTGAAGACAGAAAGTGAAATTGCATGCATTTAGCATGAAATGGAGATCAAAAGGCAAAAATAAATGCTGAAAAACAATGTTATTAAAAATAACAATATTAAAATAATAATATATTATAATAAATAAATATATTTCCATTTTAGCTAGTTGCCTAGAAACAACACTACATGCCAATGGAAGATGCCAAACTGCTACATGCCAGAAAGTAGAAGTTTTTAATAATATAATTTTATCTAAATTTCTCTAAAAAGTTGGATATGTATACTCTCTATATTGACTGGGTCCATATTCACTGCATTCCGTTCAATTTGATGCATTTAATTATATACTGTACGCATTACACATTTAGGGTCTTGTGCTCTCCAAACCTGCATTTGATTGATCAAAAAATACAGTAAAACAGTATATACTGTAAAATAACTGTTTTCCATTTTAATATGTTTTAAAATGTCATTATTCCTGTTGGCAAAGCTGAATTTTCAGCTTCATTACTCCAGTCTTTAGTGTCGCATGATCCTTCAGAAATCATTCTGATATGCTAACTTGATGCTCAAGAAACATTTCTTATTACTATCGACGCTGAAAATGTGCCTTTCACATGGTGTACCATGCTAGAGAAAATTGTTTTTTTTAAAGACAATTATTCACTAGAATTTATAGTGTAAGAAAATAACCCGTTTATTGGTTTATTCAAAGTCGTCTCTTCTTTATTAGCTGTTTTGTGTTATATGCATCATGTGCTTGAAAAGTGAAGAAAATGGATTTGTTACCCTGAGGCAGCATCCTGCAATAGAACACATAAAAATAAACATACTTCCCCAAACATCCCTGAATGGATTTCACAAAGTTTGACCTAAAATGTTATTGTGCTGTTCTTCAGTCTTGACTCACACTGACGTGATGTGAAGAACGGCTCATGAGGGTGTTCTGTGCTCCCTCAGGCATGTGCCTGGAATATACTGGCCTCGATATGAAGGGGTCAGGTTTGATAAGAACCCCTCTCTCATCCACATATCCCTGATGTAATCTACGAGACAGTAAACAGATGGACATTAGGCATATTCATGTTATTTCTTATTGGACTCACTTACACGCATTAAAGTCGGCATGAAAAAGAAACTGCGATAGTCTTTTCTTCCATGTTGTGACATATATTCATGTGAAACGGATTCACGAACAAGACAAAAAAAGGTCGGGATTTGATTTTATGCATGGGGAATTGATTGGATGGTTGTGGTTTGCTATTGGTCAACCTCATGTGAGTGACAGGTTGTCCCGCCCTCGCGCCAGTAAACATCAGAGAAGAGAAGAGATGTTACTGCAAGAATGAGGGGAAGGTACTTCTATTAAAGATTACAAGTGCACATGAAATGTAAAAACAATTATGTGCACAGATAAATTATTTCTAATAAACACTGCAATATTCCATTTAAAAAATAAGAATTGTCCATTTTGATTTCATGGTGACTTTAATTTGTGCAACATAACTAACTATGTGATATCTAAATAAATCTGTATGTGGTTCATAGCTTTTTTTTTTTTTCTAACGAGACAAAGTCTCAAACAAGACTCAAGCCACCATTTCATAGAAGCTCTGGTCTTTGCCAGGCACCATTACAGTAAGAGTCTCTGCAGAGTAATTTCAGCTCAATTGTTATAATGAATATAGTTGCTTCAGTGGAGAGACTTAACACTTTTATTCAAAGAGCCTCTTAAGGCATCATTTAAATGTTCATCTTCAAACGAATGATGATCTGTAAAGGGGATAAATCTGTTTGTGTCTTGTAGCGGAGAAAGTGACATCTCTGGGGAAGGACTGGCATAAATTCTGTCTGAAGTGTGAACGCTGCAACAAGACCCTGAATCCAGGAGGACATGCTGAGGTGAGAGTAAGGCAGTTAATAACTGAGAAAAAGAAAGTGCTGAAGATAAAACCCCATTTAAAAAAAAAACATAACACTGGTTTATTGGTTTACAGTCTGAAAATGTATAAAAGTAAGTAATATTACATGAGCAAGAGTGCTGTTCCAAATATCAACACAATAACAACAATGCAAAAACATGAAAACTCTCTCTCAGTAGGTGGCTGTTATAGAAAAGCAGAAATATAGCTATCATCCTGGTTGCTGTGGTCGACAAAACAGTGCGGTGCGACTTTCTGTTTCTAACCTGCTTGTCGTGGGGAAAAAAGCCAAACAGTATTTACAGTATTAGCTATGCTGTTAATCATAAGAAACCAAGAATTCAAGAGACAAAAGAGCCGGTTCTGGACTCTTCCTCTCCTCTCTCTTCCTCTTCTCTCTCTTCCTCACTGTTGCTTAGCAAAATAGTATGTTCGTAAGTTTTATGTAGCAGAAGCAGATTATCTTTTTGGTATCACTCTAGGTATAATGAGCGCATAAAGAGTACAAAAGGAGTACAAAATAAACAGTATTTTAATATTATTTAAGATAGAACATGCAGGAGAACAGAATAACATAACCACATTATACAAAGACGACAAGGAACACAGAACTGAGGAACTTAGGACTTAAATACACAAGGAGTGGTAACAAACAGAAACAGGTGCGCAATTAATTAGGAACTATGTAAACTAATAGGGAACACAGGCAGACAGGCAAACAGGAAAAGTCAAGTCAAGTCACCTTCATTTATAAAGCGCTTTTAACAGTATGGATTGTTTCAAAGCAGCTTTACCGTTATAATAGAAATTACCGTAACAGATTGTTTAGGCTTTAACAGCACTAGGACTGTTAAATAACATAAGTTATTGTCCAGCTAAAGCATACCTGTCAAGTTTTGGATTTGAAAATAAGGGAAATTTTCCGGCGCCCACCGCGAGCAGTCCCACCACCCCAACCAAGCTCCTGTATCCCTTAAATTTTAAGACAGGTGTTATAGCCTAAATGAAAAAACACACACACACATATATACATATATATATTTGGTATATATAGGGTATATATTAAGAGCATTAATTAAAGGCTTATTTGCATATTTTCTGGTCATTTAACATTACTTGTCTTTACATTTTATTTTCATTCCACACATTATTTTCATTTCATATTGCTTTTCTTTTACAGTTTTTCTTTTCATTTGCAGTTTTTCTTTTCATTTCACATAACTTTTCTTTACTCTTTTAGTGAGTTATTGAACAAATTTGTTGCAGACTTTGTATTAACTGTTTTGGAAGGAGTGTATTTGTGGGCTGGGCCAGAGTGGTTAATTTTACATGAGAGTAGAGCAAACAGTTCTGTTGTCTAACGTCATCCTATTCTCTGTAACAATATTTCGTACCATGCTAAACACCCTTTCTCGTGCTGACATACATCATTCCTTCCCCGTGTGAGATGCTAAAGTCGCAGTTACAAAACTTACAAAACGCGTGACTGTCCCCCACCCTGCTCCTCTTCAGAAAAGTAAATTCGCTATCCCATTGATCGTGGTATTTAGTACATGAGGGTTTTGGTTTTTTGGCAGGAGTGCCTTGCTCTGTCATAGCGAAGATCATCCGACTCTGTTTTTGTTTGTTTTTTGTTTCCCCCGCGTTGTCACTCATCATCTGACCTCACACACTAACCTCGCGACAACTGCCACCTACAGTACCTGTAGTTTTCGTGAGGCTAGTGACAGAGCTTAGATTGGGAATGTTTTTTGTTTTTTTTACTCCGCCCGGGGTATTATTATTTTTCAATAACGCAGGTTAAAATACGGGAGATTTACGGGAAAATCCTAATACGGGAGGACGGCAGGAAAGAAGGGTAAAATACGGGACTTTCCCGGCCAAAACGGGATACTTGACAGGTATGAGCTAAAGTTAGTTTTGATTGATTCACTTCCGTTGCGAAGATCATTACTTAGGGGCCGCTAACACGACACCGTTCTAGCAGGAAAACTCTTAACGCGCTCCTGCCACACATCCGCACAAAACAGTGCCTGGTGTCTCGAGAGCGCACTCCCTGAAATAGGTTCGAATGTGCAAACGATTATCCGTTATTTCTGCGCAAACCGCGAAAACGCAGACGGCGCGCACATGCGCATCACGTGTTCAGTCCATAGGTATGCCGTATGCGTGTTTGAATATATATATATATATGTGCGCAGGTATGTAGTCCTTCTTCACAAATCAACCCTCAACAAACTACTTGTCTGGTCTTAAAAATTTAGAAAACAGAATTTTTGTCGCGTCTGCGTAGCCACGCAAACCGGAATTATCCCGACAACGTTTTATCTGTACAGAGGTAAAGGGAGGGACGCCTTCACAGGAGAGAGACTAGTTGACACTTCAGGACTGCGTTGTCGTCGTGTCCAGGCGCTGGTCCTTCATCATATCTGGATACAGCCTGGATCCGGTGCACTGCAGTAAAACCTCAGGATAAACAGAGACTTACATTAGCGTAGACGCCATCCTTCTTATAATGTACAAAGTACATCAGGATTTATGGGAAGTGTTCCCGGTTCCGGCTGATCTAAACTATGCAGCCTAACATTGAATTATAGAAGTCTATAATGTGTTATGTGTATGCTAGGCCAAAGAGATGTGTTTTTAGTCTAGATTTGAACTGACAGACTGTGTCTGCTTCCCGGACAATGTTAGGAAGATTGTTCCAAAGTTTTGGTGCTAAATAGGAAAAGGATCTACCGCCAGCAGTCGATTTTGATATTCTAGGTATTGTCAACTGGCTGGAATTTTGAGATCGTAATAGACATGAAGGACTATAATGCATTAAGAGCTTGCTCAAGTACAGGGGAGCTAAACCATTTAGTGCTTTGAAGGTAATCAGCAATATAAAAAAAATTGATAATTTAAACAGTTTAATAGGGAGCCAATGCAGTGTTGACAGAACCGGGCTAATATGGTCATACTTCCTGGTTCTGGTAAGAACTCGAGCTGCTGCGTTTTGAACTAGCTGTAGTTTGTTTATTAAGCATGCAGGGCAACCACCCATTAGAGCATTACAATAATCTAGCCTTGATGTCATGAACGCATTAACTAATTGTTCTGCATTTATAATTGAAGGCATATGACGTAATTTAGATATATTTTTAAGATGAAAAAATGTGGTTTTAGAGATACTAGACACGTGACTTTCCAATAAAAGATTGGTATCAAAGAGCACACCCAGGTTCCAAACCGACGACGAGGACTTGACAGATCAGCCATCAAGTGTTATACAGTATTCTAGGTTATTACGTGAGGACGTTTTTTGTCCAATAATTAGAATCTCTGTTTTTTTTTTTCAGAATTAAGTAGTAGGAAATTGCTAGTCATCCAGTTTTTTATATCAGCTATACATTCCGTTAATTATGTGGATTGGTAAGTTTAGTCAGGGCGTGAAGAAATATAGAGCTGAGTATCATCAGCATAACAGTGAAAACTAATGCCATGCTTCCTAATGATATCTCCTAAGGGTAGCATGTACAGAGTGAACAGTAACGGTCCTAGTACTGAGCCGTGTGGTACGCCATACTGAACTTTTGACTTTTGATTTCTTTATTTACTGCTACAAACTGATAACGGTCAGATTAGTATGATTCAAACCATGCTAATGCAATTCCACTAATGCCAACATAATTTTCGAGTCTATTTAAAAGAATGTTGTGGTCGATAGTGTCAAATGCAGCACTAAGATCGAGTAACACTAATAGATAGATACAACCACGATCGCATGATAAGTGCAAATCATTTGTGGCTCTAATGAGAGCAGTCTCAGTGCTATGGTACGGTCTAAATCCTGATTGAAAATCCTCGCAGATATCATTTCTTTCTAAAAAGGAACATAGTTGTGAAGATACTGATAAGGTAGATTCGAGATCAGCCTGTAATTGACTAATTCTGTTGGACCAAGTTGCGTTTTTTTTAACAAACGGTTTAATCATAGCCAGATTAAATGTTTTTGGTATGTATCCTAATTACAAAGATGAATTAATGATATTAATGATATCTATGACCTCTGGAAGCATCTCTTTCAGTAGTTTAGTCGGTATAGGGTCTAACATACATGTTGTCGATTTAGATGATTTAACGATTTAATGATTCATCCTCTCCTATAGCAATGAATGAATCAAATTTTTTGTCAGGGAGACTACAATGCACTAATGCATAAATTACAGCAACACCCCCCCCCCCCCCCCCCCCCCCCCCCCCCACCCCCCCTTGCCTTTCATACGAGGTTTATGTTTATAACCGTAATCTTGGGGGGTGGACTCATTTAAAGTAATGTAATTGTTTGGTTTCAGTCAGGTTTCTGTCTAACACAGAACATCTAGGTTATAGTCTGTAATCATATCATTAACAATAAGTGCTTTTGAAGTAAGCGATCGAATATTCAGCAACCCAAGCTTTATCAATTGTTGATTTGTATTATATCTGTTTTTTATTTGTTGAACATGAATAAAAATTTTACCCTTAGACGGGTTTGGAAGTTTTTTGCATTTCCTAATTCGGGGAACAGACACAGTCTCAATATGATGATATCTAGGTGAAAGAGTCTCTATGTGATGGGATTTATCTCTCCTGAGTGACGTGAGACAGCTAGCAGACGGTCAGTTTAGCCAGTCTGTCTGCTTCCTGACCTGAGCCCCAGATTGTCATTTTTGAGCTCTAAGACTATTTGCCATATTACTAGAGAGAAGAGCAGCACCATCCCAGGAGGGATGAATACCATCTATTTTCAACAGGTCAGCTCTGCCCCAAAAACTTTTCACTTTTAAATTTGCTTTGATGTCAGGCGCTCTGGCTCCCAGCCAACATGTGACTATGGTGGCTGGTGTCTCTATTCTCACGTTCCGTGTAATAGAATCGCCAATAACTAGGGCACATTCAACAGGATTCTCAGTGGGTGTTTCACTGAGAGGGGAGAACCTGTTTGATGTTGTAATC